AGATGTTGACAATACCCCAACTCCAGAGATTAAGGTTTTAGTGGAAACCCCAGTTTCATTGTTCTCTGGGGTTAACAAAAGTCATTGTTTCATGAGAAAAATCAAAATCAAAGCTGGAGTTTCCAGCTCTGGCTGGGTGACTCAGCTGGCTGGAGCATCAGTCCATCGATCAAAAAGGTCCTGATTTGGTTCCCAGGAAGGCACATACCTAGGTTATGGGTCCTATCCCTAGGTGGGGCACCTACAGGATGTTTCTCACATTGATCTCTCTCTCTCTCTCTCTCTCTCTCTCTCTCTCTCTCTCTCTCTCTCTCTCTGTCTGTCTCTCTCTCTCCTTTCTCTCTCTCTTTCTGATTAAAAATCAATTTTAAGAAAGCAGGAATTACCAAGGATTTAGGGAAATGCAAAGTTGTGCTAAGAGAAGGAGTATAGAACCAGAAAGGAAGTGGGAAGGCATGAGAAAATGCTGACTTGGACCAGGCTGGTCATGATAGAGATGGAGACAAGTAGACAGATAAGCTTTGGGAGTGACTTGCTATTGAATTGAATGGGGATTTGAATGCACTTCCAGAAATTCTACCAATTAGAAATTCACTGGGTTTGCAAGCTTCTTCTATAAAAATTCAAATACATCTAAGAGGCTTAGGTCCCTGGTGAGGGTGTAATTTAGTCTGCATTAGTTCCATCAGCTTACTTTTACCATCACCTAGCTGAAGTCAGTCATACTTAAAGAGCTGAGAGTTTTGCTTGGGGAGAAGAATGTTTTGCATAAATAATATAATCGTGTGTAAGGCAGGAAGTGAAGTCTTGGGAAAGACAGAGGCCTGAAAGATCTTACAGGAGATGCAGAGATGGGTGACAGCATTTGAGAGCACAGAGAACAGGCAAACTGGCCTTCTCTGAAATTTGCCTGATTGCTTCTTAGAGATAAGTTCCCAATCTTCTTTAAAACTGGGAATGTCTCGTTTCTTGTACTCTTGTTTGAAAAAAAGACATTCCACCAATTAATAGCAGAGGAAAGAAACAAAAGCATTAAAAGCATTGACACCTTAGCCTGTTTGACTCTGTAGATAGAGCATTGGACTATGGACTAAAGGGTTCTAGGTTTGATTCTGGTCAAGGGCACATGCTGGGGTTGTGGGCTCCATCTCCAGGAGGGGGCATAAAGGATGCAGCTGATCAATGATTCTCTCTCATCACTGATGTCTCTCTCTCTCTCTCTCTCTCTCTCTCTCTCTCTCTCTCTCTCTCTCCTTCTCCCTTCCTCTCTGAAATCAATAAAAAATATATTTTTAAAAAAGCATTAACAATTTCCATGTTGTCTTATTTAAATCCAATGTAAACTACCTGATTCTCTGACAATATTTTACTGGTATCATATGATAAAAAGGAATTTTAAAATCTAAAAAATTAAAAGCAATCATCAGTGCCATGCGAGATAAATAAATATTATTGATCAATGTTTAAAAATAATTTCAATTATGTTATTTTAAAATTTTCTTTTATCTTTGGTAGTAAGTATCTATAATTTTTTAAAATATATTTTATTGATTTTTTTACAGAGAGGAAGAGAGAGGGATAGAGTTAGAAACATCGACGAGAGGATCATCAATCAACTGCTTCCTGCACACCCCCCACTGGGGATGTGCCCGCAACCAAGGCACATGCCCTTGACCAGAATTGAACCCGGGACCTTTCAGTCCGCAGGCCGACGCTCCATCCACTGAGCCAAACCGATTTCGGCAATATCTATAATTTTTAAGTCCTGTCTTGTTTAGATACAACAAAAGGTATTACATTTTATTTATTGTTTTATTTTTTTCTTTATGCATTCACAATCTTACTTTTAAAAAAATGACACAGATCCTAAAATGTTCCAAATGCTACCTTCTGGGTATAATTTTGGGTACATTTCAAACATCATGTGTCAGCCACCACTCAGAGCTAATACTGCTGGAAAGGATGAGTAATAGCCAAAAATTTGGCTCACTCCTAACCCTGACTTCTTGGATGGTGATCCTGCATTAAAAAAAGAACAAAAACAACAACTCACAAATGAAATAAAACAATTCTCTGATGTTCCCATATTTCAAATATGGAAAAGAAATTATTTTTATCACAAAACAAACAAACAGTAAAAAGCAACAACAAAAAACATTAGCCATAAGTATGGGCTCATAAAAAAATTAGGAAATTTTTTTTAAGCAAAGCATTAAATGGCAAGATAAAAATAGATCAGTCTGTAAGCCCATAAAAATCCATGGACTGGTGCCTCTGGATGAGAATTACAAGCTGAATGGCAGGTACACTGTGTGCGCTTTGGAATGGAACAGACGGTTAGTCTCCCCGCTGTCTTCGAGCTTTTCTCTGCATCTGGCCCCAGCTCTGTGCTTCCTTCCGCACATGGAGGGTCCCAGCTATGTTTACCATACGATCATCCATCCTTTCTGAGCATCTTTTTTTTTTAAATATATTTTATTGATTTTTTTACAGAGAGGAAGGGAAAGAGATAGAGAGTCAGGAACGTCGATGAGAGAGAGACATCGACCACCTGCCTCTTGCGCACCCCCTACTGGGGATGTGCCCGCAACCGATGTACTTGCCCTTGACCGGAATCCAACCCGGGACCCTTCAGTCCTCAGACCCATGCTCTACCACTGAGCCAAACCGGTTTCGGCATGAGCATCTTATTTCTCTCTACTGCTTAGGATAAAATCTGGGACAGTGCGTCCACATGGGGGAAAGCCACTGGGGAAGCACGGAACCTCAGCATTATTGATCATTGCCAATCATTGTGTTTTTATAGATAAGAGAAATCAAGCATAACCAGGTTGAGAATCTTGCTCAGAACTATTCATATATTAAGCCTCAGAGCTGAAGCTTCTCAGGTAATCTCTCAATCTGTGGAGAGACACTTCTCCATTTACCTGTCACATTTCTGCACGTTTGCAAACACAGGCACTGACCACCTTTGCTCTGAATTATCTTTTCAAAGGCATCTAGATAGCAGATAGCTTTGAAATATAAAGATAGTGCCTCCCTCCTGAGCAGAGAGAAGACTTTGTCCAATATAACAAAAATAATGTCTCCCTTTGGGGCAAAGGGCAGACATGCTCCCTGCCCATTATAAAACAGTCCAACTCCCTAAGCTAGGAGTTCCTCTCCTGAACCATAAACCACTAAGTTTACAAGTGTCAGCTGCCTGCTTCACATCGCCCTGCGGGGCCTGGGCTCAGTGAACTGGGACAAATGCTGGGAGCCTGGCGGCAGCCGCTGCTGTAAATTACAGAGTCATTTTTCTCTGAGTCAGGAGCCGCCTGTCTGCTGCTGGCACCCAGGACGCCGTGACAGACTGACTTGTGAGCTTGGGAGGGAGAAGAAATCTCAGAGCCTTCACACTTTTGGACAGAAACCTAAAAGTTTAGTGATAGTCACTCATATCAAAAGAAAAATAATACTAAGCACTAAGAGGCCTTTTGCTTGATTTTTCAAATCTAGATACCATTGGATGGTAACTGGTGATCCAGTTACCATTAATTAAGCATTATGTGTTAGGGATAATATATAATATGTTTATTCTTCAAATCAAATTATAGCCACACACACACACACACACACACACAGAGAGAGAGAGAGAGAGGGGGAGAGAGAGAGAGAGAGAGAGAGAGAGAGAGAGAGAGAGATGTATTATTTAATTTATTTTTTTAATTTCATTTATGTAATGGTCTCATTATCCTCATCCAACAGCAACCTGAAGCTAAGTCACATAGCTATTATAATAGGGGGCAGAGCTAAAACATCTGGTTTCAAAATTTTGTTTTGCCTTCCTCCAAATAAAACACAGCTAAAAATGGCATGGGCCATTTTAGTTTGAAATGAAATGGCTAAATTGTGTCATATTGTGTTTAGCTTGACAATCTTATCTTTTTAATAGAACTACTGCAGATGTTTAGGCATTGACATGTTGCTATCTAATATGCATTCAATGTTCAATGTTCAGTATTCAGAACAGATACAATGTTATTAATACTGAGTTTATATTATATACTATACAGTCACAGAAAAAGTCTACCACAGAAGCTGTTGTTTTTAAAGTTTAAATCATACAACCATGCTAAAGATATATTCTTTTAAAGCTACACTGCTAAGAAAACATGACAGGAGAAGTAATTCTATTTAAAAAGCTATATATCCCATAAACTATCTTGTTAGTCATGAAGATAAATAAAAAATAACACACTAGACAGAGTGGAGAAAGTACATATATTGAGAACTTACAAATGTTCTTAAGAATAAAAAATGTTTGCTCAGCCTATGTGGCTCAGTAGTTGAGTGTCTACCTATGAACTAAGAGGTCATGGTTTGATTTCCCATCAGGGTACATACCCGGGCTGCAAGCTCAATCCCTAGTGTGAGGTATGTGCAGGAGGCAGCCCATCAATAATTATTTCTCATTAAATATTAAATGGATTTTAAATAAGAAATATGAAGAACCCTTTCATTGATGAGCTTTGAAGGAGACTATAATTTTACCTATGAAGACATATAACATCTGATGTTATTTTCCCACTCTGGGAATCTATGAGAAAATGAGATGGTAATTTTTATCCTACTTTTCTAATGTCAAGACATAGAATTTACTCAGTCAGTATCTTGTCTTAAACAGACAGACAAATTGAGAAGATTTCAGAAAGAGGAAACGCATTAATCGTGAAGACATATTTTTTAAAAATAAAGCAGGAAATGTATTAAAAGCAAACATATATGAATAAAATAAATATTTATCTAGAAAGAAAGAAGGCAAAACTGAAAGAAAGCATATTAACATCACACTTGTATTACTTATTATGGAGGTCTTTCCATTGGTAAAACCTTGCAGATTCTGGAAGATTTATGATCGTGAAATTGGTGGACAAAGAAGCTCATCTATCAGATGGTGTCTCCTACAGATGCCTACATATTTCACATGTTTATGCATAGGGAAGCAAAAGAAAGCTTACCTGGAAATCTTTGAATTATTTGACATAAGCCTTCTTTTCTGCAAAGCTGATGCTGTATTTCTGGAAATATGTTTACCTAGAAGGAATGAAAAAGATTCTAGTGAGCTGGGCATTCATAAATGCTCAGGCAAAGGCACCGCCATCCACACCCTACCCTCAAACCTCTACAGGTCAGCATTTAGATCCGGAATAACAGAGTGGTCTACTGGGTAACATAAAATTAAAAACTGGCCCTCAGAAATCTTCAAAATATTTGGGGATACTTTTGAAAAACCTAGACTTATCTCAAAGCCATGGTTTTTGCTAGAAATAAAAGGGAATACTATGTCCTTATGGCAAATAGAGTAATACAAATAACCTCATAGTTTCAAATTTAGCTTTGGCCAAAAATTAGCACTAAGCATAACATACCTCAAAGTAAGTCAACTACAGTGCAACATTCCAAAGGCCCTCAGTGATTTGAGTCCCATACTGTGGAGAGTCAGTGCTAAACCTATTTCAACACTTCATCCCTACTTTTCACTTCATACTGAAGGGCATTCATTATTGCTTCCAAATATAAAGCCCAGCTATCTACTTTAACAAAAATGTCTTCTTAAAAAGCCTCATAAATATGACCACAAATTCAAATATGTACTCTCACTTGAAAAGGTCCAAACAAGCTAATTCTCCCCCTCCCCTGAATTTACAGGTTGGCTAGCTAGCTATTATCAACACAATCTCAAAAATAATTCCAAATATGGTAGGTAAAGCCTTCTTAAAACCAACAGAAAGAGGTAAGTGTAAATTTCCTTGAATATCAGATTCATTTTGAACAGTGATCGATTATTCTCAAATTAATTCACTCTAATCTAATAAAATACTGGAGTTTCTCTACTTGGTCTTGCCAGCATGATTAGATGACAACGAGGTGCAGTGGGAGAAAAGTGAGGGACCCAGGGACAGGGCTTGTGCTCCCACTTCTCCTGCCCAACAGTATGGTAATTGTGAGTCCACCACTTGGCTTCTCTTTCTCACTCTCTCAGTTTGTAAAATAAAGCAGTTACAGCCGTGGGTCTTTAAGTTCCACTTCTGCTTTTAGCTATTATCAACTCAATAATTCAATCATGGTTCTAGTTTTGTTTTGTTTTGTTTTATTTTGTTTTGTTTTGAAATATATTTGTATTGACTTCAGAAAGGAAAGGAGAGGGGGAGAGAGATATAAACATCAATCATGAGAGAAAATCATTGATCGGCTACCTCCTGCAGGCCCCCTACCGAGACCGTGCCCACAACCAGGGCATATGCCCTTGATCAGAATCAAACTCAGAACTCTTCAGTCCTCAGGCCAACGCTCCATCCACTGACCCAAACCACCTATGGCTTATTTTGTTTCTTTAACGGTTCATTTAAAAAGTTCATTCAAAGCCTTAAGTTTTGAAACAGTGCGTCAATTATTCTCCAACCACTGCAATCCCGTTAACTTCTCTTCATTTGTTCAGTAAAATGTAAACTTCAGCCCAGATCATCTATGAATGAAGCCCAGACTTCAGCCGAACCCACTCTGTGAAATTTGCACCAGCAACATTCCTAAACACTCCATTAGAAAGTCTACAGAGATACAAAAGTCTGAGCCACTTCCTAGTACGTTCTTATTGCACCGGGAACTGAGAAAAGAGTGTAAGTATAGTGCGTGATAGACTTTAGAGATGTCTTCATGTCTTAAATTCGAAAGTACAACAATTCAGAGACTAAATGTAGGGGGAGAATGGTTTCATAAAATCCTGATGTTTTCCATTCAGAATTCCTAAAACAGGCTGGACAGAGCACTGCAAAAATATGGGAAATTCATACCAAATGTTTGAGGTATTTTTTCTCCCCTTTACGTTAGCATATAAAAGCATCTTTCGGATGTAAAAAGCTTCAGAAGGCAATAAACTTGAACCATTTATCCCCACGCAGGCAAAATGACTCAGTTGCTATTGACTAAATAAAACCTTTAGCAATAGAAGAGCCAGCATTAGGTAAGTAATGTGAAAGACTGGGTTCTGGCACAGGTCCGACTGAAAACCGTCTCCCACTTCTTGAAGGGCTCAGAGCAAATGCCTAAAGCATCCTTGGTCCCATTGTCCGCTGCAGAACAGGATGGAAAAGTCTTGGTAACATGAGTTACAAAACTCACGGGGCAAAACACTTTGTGTAGATGCTGCAAAGATAGTGCACAGCGTGCTCAGTCTTCACACAGAAGGGCACTTGGCTGTGTCTCATCAGAGAGATGACTTTTCTTTTTCTTTTTTTAAACATATTTTATTTTATTTTATTTTTTTACAGAGAGGGATAGAGAGGTAGAAACATTGAACAGCTCCCTCCTGCACACCCACTACCAGGCATGTGCCCCCAACCAAGGTACATGCCCTTGACCAAAATCAAACCTAAGGCCATTCAGTCCGCAGGCCAACTCTCTATCCACTGAGCCAAACTGGTTTCAGCCGAGAGATGACTTTTCATGTTCGACCTTGGATCAAAAGGATGAACTGGCTCCGGGTCAACAAAGCACTTGCTTCAGAAATTCAGAGCCAAGCCACAGGAAGTAACTGCTCACCCTCTTCCGCCTTTGGTTTTCCGACCCCTCACCCAGTGACCTCTTCCCAGGCTCTTTCCTCCAAAGTAAATCTTTGGAATCAGAGTCACAGCAGATGACATAATCATGGTGACACGTGACACCAGAAATATCATCTCCGTTCCAATCTGGAAATGAGCACCAAACTAAGCAGTTCAACGAAATGACTCAGCACCGAGAAATAAACACACTCCGTGGCAATGGGTCACACAGCTATGGCAAATCATCTATGTTACACACATTTTAACTTTTTAATTGTTAAGCCTAATAACGTTAGGCTTTATGTTCTTTTTTTGTTTTATGTACATCATAAAATTTATGATTTGCATCATTCTCAAGTGGAACATCATCAAAGAAGTTTTTACTTGGTTAGCTAACTTTTATAAGATGAGCTTTCCAGCTTCAGACTGCAATAAATATTTTTATCAGGCTTTATTTTGGGGAGAAGGTGAGGTTCAGTTTGCCCACCACCCCCACACATGCACAATCTCCCCCATTATCAGAACCCTCCCGCCCCTCCAGTGGTGATTTTGTTACAATTGATTAATCTATACTGACACTTCATAATCACCCAAATAGTCATTTTTATACCCATTTTGTATTGGGGTTGAATGCTTTACAATGTGTGTGTGTGTGTGTGTGTGTGTGTGTGTGTGTGTGTGTTTTATAGACAGCTGTTCTGATATTTTTCTTAGCATAAAATCTTTCATATTTTTGAAAGAATTAGAATGAATATAAAATGATAATGACATTTGAGCCTGCAACATTTCTGAGATCAAATTGGGACAACAAAATGTGCATTTTTAAAAATATATTTGTAAATATATAATTTTTTTATTTCAGAGAGAGAGAGATAGAAACATCAATGATGAGAGAGAATCATTGACTGGCTGCCTCCTGCATGCCTCCTACTGGGGATCAAGTCCCAAACCAGGCATGTGCCCTTGACCGGGATTGAACCTGGGACCCTTCAGTCCATAGGCAGACACTCTATTCACTGAGTCAAACTGGCTAGGGTGAAAATGTGCATTTAAAAAGATTTCAATCTCCACATATCTTCTACAATCAGAATCAGTGATAATCTATATCTAAATTATTTTATTATATACTAAGGCCCAGTGCACAAAATTCGTGCATGGAGTGGGAGGGAGTGTGTGTGTCCCTCAGGCCAACCTGCACCCTCTCCAATCTGGGATTCCTCAAGGGATGTTCAATACCTGTTTAGGCCTGATACTGGTGGAATTGGGCCTAAACAAGCAGTTGGACATCCTTCTCACAATCCAGGGCGGTTGGCTCTCAACCATTTGCCTACCAGCCAGATCACCCCCCTAACCACTCCTCTACCAGCCTGATCAATCCCTAACCACTCCTCTTCCAGCCTGATCGACTCCTAACTGCTCCCCTGTCAGCCCAATTGCCCCTAACTGCACTTCCCTGCAGGCCTGGTTGCCCCAACTGCTCTTCCCTGCCAACCATCTTGTAGTAGCCATCTTCTGTGTTGGAGTGATGGTCAATTTGCATATTACTATTATTAGATAGGATATTGTCCGAATCAAAAGTAAAAATCATTCTTAGTTGAAACCTTTACTTAATAAGTGCAACAGTATAGTATTAATTATAAGCACTTAAAAGTGTTTTAAATAAATTTTTAAAAAACCTAAAAATACAGTAACTTATTAGGGACAATAGGCATTTAAATGTAGACTATTTATAAAGTGTAAGAAAACACCCAAGTAATAAAAAATCTTTTAGTCACTTGTGAACAATGAGAGTACACACATTTCATAGTGTATCTTTCTTAGGGAACTGCTCTTTTTCTTCACTAGATGTATACAGACTTTTATTCCTTTTATTTTTATCAAAAATAGGATCTCTGAAAGCTGTTCAGTATCATCCATATAGAAAAGAATTAATGATGAGAAGCAACAAATCAAAAAAAAAAAGTCCTTTTATCCCCCATGTTTCTAACATACAATTATCATTCCATCAAATTCACCTGAAAGTGTCCTTTCATACCTTAACATAAGAGCCCTCTCAGTGGTTCTCAGCGCTCCAAGTAGAACTAAAAACAGCATCCTGGGCTTAGGGGTTGCTAATCCTACAAACATTTAGAGCTAGAAATCAATCCCTCATCTCAGGAAATACTAGAACCTGTCTGTTAGAGGTGAGATACAGCCCCAGTGACTAAATTTAATGCTGCCCCAACTAGTGGACCTCACTTCACTTTCAGTATCACATGGACCAACACAGTTTTAAATTTATGTTACTTTCTCCCTGACTAGAGAGACTCCTGACCATTCATTTTCTGTGACAGATTGATGATCATTTTCATTAAGCACTTAAATTCCAAGCCTCTAACACGATTAGTGATTTTAATTTGAGCAGATGCCCTTTCTTTGTTAACTTTACAGTTACTGACTCCCACAACACCATCAAGCAATTTGAAACAACTGTTTTATTTTTGTTTTTTCTTTATT